GTCACCCTGGGGTCACGGGGACACGTCACCCTGGGGACACGGGGACACGGGGACACGTCACCCTGGGGTCACGGGGACACGTCACCCTGCTGGCATGGTCACCAGCGTCACGCAGCGCTCCGCTGTCACCTCAGCCACCCCTGGGCACTGTCCCCTCCCCTTTCCCAAACCCCAAATCCCAATCTCCAAAACCCCCAAACACCAAACCCCAAATCCCACACCCCAAATCCCAAACCCAGACCCCAAACCCCAAATCCCAAACCCCAAATCCCACACCCCAAATCCCAATCTCCAAAACCCCAAACCCCAAATCCCAAACCCAGACCCCAAACCCCAAATCCCAAACCCTAAATCCCACACCCCAAATCCCAATCTCCAAAACCCCAAACCCAGACCCCAAACCACAAATCCCAAACCCCAAATCCCACACCCCAAATCCTAATCTCCAAAACCCCAAACCCCAAACCCCAAACCCAGACCCCAAACCCCAAATCCCAACCCCTAAATCCCACACCCCAAATCCCAATCTCCAAAACCCCAAACCCCAAATCCCAAACCCAGACCCCAAACCCCAGACCCCAAACAAACCCCAGAGCCCAAATCCCAAACCCAGACCCCAAACCCAGACCCCAAACAAACCCCACACCCCAGACCCCGCTCCCACCTCTCCAGGAAGCGCTGCAGGCCCAGCCGCCGCCTCTCGATGAATTCATCGGCGCTTCCCAGGAAAAACGCGGATTTTCCCGGCAGCTCCGGGACCGGCCTGCGGGATTTGGGGTTTGGGTTTGGGGTTCAGGGTTTGGGGTTGGAGCTCAGAGTTTGGGATTTGGGGACTGGGATTTGGAGTTTGGGATTTGGGGTTTGGATCTGGAGTTTGGGATTTGGGGTTTGGGATTTGGGGTTGGAGTTTGGGATTTGGGGTTTGGATTTGAGGTTGGAGTTTGGGGACTGGGATTTGGAGTTTGGGATTTGGGGTTTGGGATTTGGGGCTGGAGTTTGGGATTTAGGGTTTGGATTTGAGGTTGGAGTTTGGGATTTGGGGACTGGGATTTGGGGTTTGGGATTTGGGGTTCAGGATTTAGGATTTGGGGTTGTATCCCGGGAATTCTCACACCAATCCGGCGTTCCTCTGGAGCTGCCTCCTCAGCCACACGAATTCCCGGTAGCGGCGCCGCACACACGAGGTCTTGGCAGTGAAGGCCTTGCTGTTGGTCTGGAAAAATCCCCGGAATGGGAATTAGCCCTGGGAATTATCCATGGGAATTATCCATGGGAATTATCCATGGGAACTGTCCATGGGAATTATCCATGGGAACTGTCCATGGGAATTATCCATGGGAATCAGCCCTGGGAATTTTCTGTGGGATCAAGGGGCTGGATCTGGTCTGGACAGAGGATCCAGGATGGGAATTCTCCGTGGGAATTCTCCGTGGGATGGAGGCTCAGGATCTCAGTCCCTGCGGGATCCCCTGGATGCCGGATCCGGGGCGCGATCCCGAGGATTCCCCTCGGGACGATCCCGCTGTGGAGCCCCCGGCGGGGCTGGAAAAGGGGGAGATTCCCATCCCAGCCCCGCTCCCGGCTCACGTGCAGGAAGATCTTGTAATCCACGTAGGAATTCCAGGAGCCCTCGTTCTGCACGCGGGGATCCTGCACCCGCACCGTGGTCAGCTCCTGCGGGAACGGGAACGGGAACGGGAATGGGAGCGGGAATGGGAGCGGGAATGGGAATGGGAATGGGAATGGGAACGGGAATGGGAATGGGAACGGGAATGGGAACGGGAATGGGAATGGGAATGGGAGCGGGAATGGGAATGGGAATGGGAACAGGAGCGGGAATGGGAATGGGAACGGGAATGGGAACGGGAATGGGAACGGGAATGGGAATGGGAACGGGAATGGGAATGGGAGCAGGAATGGGAATGGGAATGGGAACAGGAATGGGAGTGGGAATGGGAATGGGAGCAGGAATGGGAACGGGAATGGGAACGGGAATGGGCGGGAATGGGAATGGGAATGGGAGCGGGAATGGGAATGGGAACGGGAACGGGAACGGGAATGGGAATGGGAATGGGAACGGGAATGGGAACGGGAATGGGAGCGGGAATGGGAATGGGAATGGGAATGGGAATGGGAACGGGAATGGGAACGGGAATGGGAGCGGGAATGGGAATGGGAATGGGAACGGGAGCGGGAATGGGAATGGGAACGGGAATGGGAACGGGAATGGGAACGGGAATGGGAATGGGAACGGGAATGGGAACGGGAATGGGAATGGGAGCAGGAATGGGAATGGGAATGGGAACAGGAATGGGAGTGGGAATGGGAATGGGAATGGGAGCAGGAATGGGAATGGGAACGGGAATGGGAGCAGGAATGGGAGCGGGAATGGGAACGGGAATGGGAGCGGGAACGGGAGCAGGGGCTCCGGGAACGGGGATCTACCCCCATCCCTGATTTTCCAGTTTCCCAAAAATGGGACTGGCGAGCTCCAAAACCCGGGATCCACCCCATTCCTGCTTTCCCAACTTTCTGAGAATGGCACAGATACCTCCAAACATTCCCATTCCCATTCCCAGCCCCATTATTCCCAGTCCCATTATTCCCATTCCCAGCCCCATTATTCCCATTCCCAGCCCCATTCCCACTCCCATTCCCATTCCCAGCCACCCACGGACTCCCACGGAAATGGAATTCCCAAGAATTCCAACCGGCCCAAATTCCCGAATTTGGGAATAAACCAGGAAAGCTCCTCACTTCCTCTCGGTTCTCCAACATCCTAGAGCCAGAGCCCAGCAGGAAACATCTGGGAAGAAAAAAAAACAAAGAAAAATGGGATTGAGAAAGAGAAATCCTTGTTTTCCATGGATTCTGCATCCCCCAGAATTCTGGGATGCCGCAGCTTTTGGGAACACTGGAAATCCCTGGAATGTGGGACAAGCCTCGATTAAAGGGGCTCTGGGATTCCCGGTTTGGGGTGGTTTTCCTGAAATTGGGGATTTTCCAAGGCTCTGCTGCCTCTCACCTGCCTGGGACTGGTGTTCCAGGAGAGAATTCCAGGGAAATTCCTGCCAGGGATTGTTATTCCTGCTTATCCTGGGCTCTTTTTTATCCCGATCCATCCCTAAAAACCTTTCCCAACCCCCTGGAACAGCAGAAGTCCTCTTTTCCATCCAGAGCCAGAAAAACGGGAATGAATCCCATTGACTTCCTGATTTTCCTTGTCGCTGGTGGATTCCCGATTAATAAATCCCATTTATTCCCTGTTTTCCTTGGACACAGCCGCCTCGAAGAGGCTGGAAGTCGCTTTTCCAGGATCCTCATCCCAACACCTTTATCCTTCCTAGGGATGTCCTGCACCACAACGAGTCCCAAAACCCAGGGAAAAGCAGGGAAAAGCGGGAATAAATCCGATTTATTCCTTTCCCAGGCTGCCTGTAAAACAGCGCGGGGGGAATTCCCGAATTCCAGGGAAGGAAAAGTTTGGGAATGGGATCGGAGCTGAGGGCGAGCCCCGGGCCGAGAGAGGCCGCGGCCGGGGGTGAGGCCCAGCCCAGCGCCGCCCCCTCCTCGCGGGAGGTTTGGGGACACCGGGACCCCCCCAGGGGACATCGGGACCCCCCCAGGGGACACCGGGACCCCCCGAGGGGACACCGGGACCCCCAAATCTGTCCCCTCCCCTCAGGGCCCCACTCACCTCGCACAGCGCGCGGCCCCTTTAAGCGGCGGCGGCGGCGCGCGGTTTTATAGCGCGGGCGGGACCGGAAGTTCCGGTGCGGGGCATGATGGGAGTTGTAGTTCGGACTCCGGTGGAGTCCACGCCCCTTTTGGGCGCAGGGAGGGACAGGAAGGGTTTGAAGCTCCTGGAGAGGCTGAGGGAGCTGGGAATGTTGATCCTGGAGAAAAGAGGGATCTGGGGGAACCTTCTGGATCTGCACAAGTCTCTGACAGAGGGCGCAGCCGAAGGGGGTCGGGCTCGGCTCCCAGGGACAGGAGGAGAGGGAACGGCCTCAGGTTTACATCAGCATGAATTTCTCCATGGAAAGGGAATATAACACCGGCACAGCTGCCCGCGCTGCTGCTGGGTGTCCCCATCCCCAAAAACTCCTGGAAGTGGCACCTGGGGACAGGGCCGATGGTGACACGACGTTGCTGGGGGAACGGTTGGACTTGGCCATCCTCGAGGGCTTTTCCAGCCTGGAGGATTCCAAGATTCCCTGGATAAATTATTTATGGAAGCCGTGAGCGGGAGCCTTCCCTGGGTGCCGGCCCAGGTCAGGCACTGCCAGCGGCACTCGGGGCTCTGCCCTGATGGACAAGGCGGTTTTGAGGCACGACTTAAACTCGAAGACCCGCGAGTTCTTTCCCGCCGTTAAGGATTTCACCATCTAATTAACTTAAGCAGTATTTAATTATTTAATTAACGGCGGGCGGAAGGGAGGGGCAGGACCACCCCCCCGGACTACACCTCCCATCAGGCCCCGCGAGCGCGGCGGACTACACCTCCCGGCGCGCCCCGCGCGCGCGCGCACCCG